ATTTTTACTTAAGGACTCAAATCACACACTACTAATATCTTGGTTTTAATTTTTTTAAAGTTAGTGTTTGAGTTTAAAAATTATTAAGTTAGTAGTACTTGGGGTCTGATATGTAACAAACGACATCAGATCATGCATCAGTTTAGTGACTCTAACTGATACTATATTGGATTTTGTGAGTTTTTGAATTGTAATTTGTGATTATATGATATGTGGCCTTAATGAGGAGATTAAGAATTTGAGTGGTAGAAATTCTAATACCTCAGTCAGTCTCGTATCAAAACAATATAAGATTGTTGATATATATGTATATGTATATATAAAGAGGCTTAAGTCCATACACTAATTTAAGTTTAATATTTAAATATTTAAAATTAATGTATAAGATATAATTTTTAAATTTATGAATTTTTATTTAATGTAAAAATTAAGAAAAATATGTGGATGATGAAATTTAAAAAAAATGGGAAAAAATGGTGAAAATTTAGATTTTAGGAGTATTTTTGAAAGAAAAATCGAAAACTGGAGGGGTTAAAACCCAATTTAAAAAAAATATGTCACGTAAGACCGCCCAGTCAGCAGTCCCGACGAACCAGAGCACGCCGCGTGGCAAGATACATTGACACGGTTCCACACTGGCAATCCATGTGCCTGCAATCGAACTGTTCGGATTTGTTTCCATGCGTGTGAACGGTCCAGATGTGTTCCCTCCTTAGGCGCAATCGGACGATCATGATTAAACGCGATAAACAGTTCAGATTCATTCTCTCTTTAAACGCGATCGTATGATCCAGATAAAATTACGATAAACGGTCTAGATTCACTTCTTATTTAAATGCGATGGACGGTCTAAATTAAAAGGGACGGATATAAATACCTCACTTCACGCTAGAGAAGAAGAACCAGCCGCCGAGAAGGGAGCCAACTGTCGCCCGCCATCGCGCTAGAGCCACCTCCGACCGCCAAAAAGGTAAAAATATTCTCCCAGTCGTTCGAAATTTGATTTTGAATAACTCCATAGCCAAATTGGAGCAAAAGGATCGGCAAATGAGACGAAAACTGCGGGTAAAGTCCGGTGGGGCTGCCGCGAAAAAAATCAAAAATTACATCCGATGAGGCCCTTTCCAATTCTCGTTTCATTCAATTTTTCCACAATTGTATTCAACATTTTGTTTTTTACAGGTTGACTAAAGAAAAACACCCAACCGCGAAGGTGAGCCGGCGAAGCCGCCGCACTGAAAAACTCTGCTGTCGGTAAGCTTCTGTTTTTTTAACATTTTTCGGCCAACCAACGTCCCTTAACGTGTTTTCTCGCAAGAATGAGTACAAAACTGGCTGAAACCGGTCGAAACTGGGTGAAAACCACTAACCCGAGGCAAATTGCTGCTACAAACGATGGTGCCGTCACCGGAGGACGGCGGCGCCACCGTGCCGGAATCCTAAAATTGGCTAGAAAGGGTTTCTAATACCGATTTTAGATTTTTGGAGTATTTCTAAGTACTTGAAGCGTGTTTTAATC